GCTCTTCCTGCTGGAAAGGCGTTCCTTCATCTTCCCTAGCTAGAGCCTGTCTTAGTCCATTTACTGCTGCAATAACAGAGCACCACGGATGGGGTAAGTGATAAAGAAGGCTATTTAACTCACGGTTTTGGAGACTGGGAAGTCCCAGGTCCGGGGCTGCATCTGGTGAGGCCTTTCTTGCTGTGTCCATAACATGATAGAAAAGCAGATAGGCAGTCCGGTGTGTGCAGAAGAGAGGCCACAGGAGTGTGCTGAGCTCTTTATAACACGCTTTCTCTGAAAACTCACTCACTTTCACCATGATGCCATCAATCCATTCCTCATGACCCAGTCACCTTTAAAGAAAAAAAAAAGTTTCTTTCTTTCATGAGACAGAGAGAGACAGATACCACCAACAAGGGTCTCATGCCACAGTGCACCTGCAGGATCCAGGATCACAGGCATATGTGTGCAGTTGGCATGCACAGGGAGACTTCAGAACACAAACCCAGCACCTTACTGATGTGACACTGTGGCTGGCTCTCAACACCTACAAAAGGTCCCACCTCTTATTACTGACACTTTAGAGATTAAGTTTCAACAGAAGTCTGGGCAAGGACTTGCAATCTAAACAATGCCCCTACTGTCCAGTGCTAAAATGCCTTGCATCTTCCCTTCCCAAGGCTCTTCACTCCTCAGAGCTTGTTTCCAGTCCTAGATTTTAAGTCCGCTGAGAGTAGGGGCTGCCCTGTCTGGATCGCCATCATACCCCCGTTAACTGGCACTCAGCAGGCATTTAATAAACGTTGATGAATTAACGAGTAAATGTACATATAAACGAATGAATGAAAAAAGAGGCAAAAAAAAAAAAAAAAAAAAAAAAGAAGAAGAAGAAGAAGAAGAAATAGGGGCCAGCCTGCAGTCTGGTACTTAAGAGAGCTGGATCTCACGTGGCCATCTACGTGGTTTGAGTCACAGACCTGGCTGCTTGAGAAACACACCTGGCACGTGTATTAGCATGCCCAAAATGGAGAGAAGGGAGAAATGGAGAAGAGATTGTGGTGTGACCATGTTCCATAGGAATGCTTTTCCTCTCTCTCTCTGATGAGCCCCTGTGCCCTCTGACAATTTTTTTTTTTAATGTGAAAAAAGAAGAAAATTGAAGAAAAGATGGTGGCGTGAGTCCTCAGAAACATTAGGAAAAGCCTACCTTCTTTGAGATCCTCAAAAGATTATGGTATTCACTTCTCGGTGCCACCCTCTCTGCTAAATTTCATCCGAGCGCAGGCAGGTCCCAGAGCCCCCTCCTGTGTCCATCACACCATGAGCAATGTTCATCTTGCAAGAGGTCACTGGAGGCAGAGACCTTGCCAGGCTCTGTGTGGCCTCACAAAACAGTGAATAAGCTGATTGGAAAGCGGTATCTTGCTTAGGGAGAGCAGTTCTCCATCAGCGCAGCCTGGGATGATGTCTCCCATCAGACAGAGGCCTAATTACTCTCAGCATCACAAAAGCAACTCTGACATAAAGATGCCAAAGGGAATTCGACTCTGAATTTAATCAGAGAGCCACAGGAAATGCTGATGCTGTGGCTTCTTTTGACAAGGAGCTGGAGGACCCTGGGGACCAACTCCAGCGGGAGTGAGTGTCCTTCAGAGCAGGCAGTGTTGCAGTCTGGGGGTGGCACCCTCCTGGATACTAAAATGAGTCATTTATTTCATAGGTGAGTTACTGAGGGCTTGGGTGGAGGATGCTTCGTGTGCATAGAACAGGAGAGGCAAACAGAGTAGGTGATTATGTAGGTCAGAGCTGATGAACCCATTCAGTCTTGCTTTGAAAGAATTGTGCTCACATATGTGTGAGCATGTGTGTTCCAGTTAAAGTACAAACCGTGGCTAATATCTATCACAAAGAGTATTCATATGCCTCATCAGTTTGTGTGAGACCCAACAGTTCTCTGATCATCTGAGCTGCCATCTTGCTTGATGTAGCAGTGAGAATGAGTTGGGCTGCAAGTAACAGAATTCTAACTAAATGCTGCTGAGAGACTAGAGCTTAGTTTTTATCACATAACAAAACATCTGACTAGAAACAGGCCAGTCCAGGCGTGGTTTAGCAGCTCTGCAGTGATGGTTGGACCTTTTTCTCTTTGATCTTCATGAGTAGAGGCTGGTCCTCTTCTCATGGTCACAAGATGGCTGTCAAAGCTTAGCTGGCATCCTCACGCCGGGTGCGTGTGTGTGCGTGCCCAAGATCCCGAGAGGAGACTGGAGGAGAAAGGATTGCAGCGTGGCCATCCCCCCTGGGGGATGATTTCTCGCTTTCTGTCTCTCTGTCTGTCTGGCGAGCGCACACGCCCTATAGCAAAAACCTCTCCCCCACCAAAAAAAAAAAACTTAGCTGGCATCAGCTTCTCACATAGGTACAGTCATTCTCATAAATCTGCAAAGATACAAAGGGATGAGAGAGAATATTTTACAAAATCCCTACAGTGGAGGATCCCCTCGTCAGTCAGGACTGGAGTACATGCCCACTTCAAGCTCAATCACTGGCAAAAAGAGATGGAATTTCTGTAGTTGGTTCAAAGTAGACCAGTGGTGGGACCAGCAGACGGCGTAATAGTTATGTCACTGGACTCCCACACAGTCAACTGTGGTTGGAGTCCGAACCTGGTGGCTTAAAACTTATGCTGGGTGCATGTGCGTGTGTGCCCAAGATCCCTAGAGGAGAATGGAGGAGAGGGAACTGTGGTGTGGCCAACCCCCTGGGGGTTGATTTTCGCTTTCTGTCTCTCTATCTCTCTCTGTCTCTCCGGCGAGTGCACACATCCTCTAGAGAAAATCCCTCTCAAAAAAACCAGTGACTCAAAATCATGGCCCTTAATATCAAGTATAGTCAGTCAACCAACTGAGACACAAAATTCCTGTGATTTGAAATGATGGCCAGTTTCCTCCCTTTTTAGAAGTTTCTACATTCCCCATTTTCCTTCCTAGGGCAGGCTATACCTTCACTCAGCCGCCAGTGTGGGAGCAATGTCTCTTCCACCAAACTGTTCTGGGGTCTCCAACGACTTCAACTTCTCCAAATGTCATGGCCTTGCTTCAGTTTCCAACTGAAAAGAGACCGAATCTGTAAATATCAAACTCTCTGGTAGAAAAGGCTCTCCTAAATACATAGCGCATGTGTGGATCCCTTTAGGACGGTTGTTCTTAAACCTCCCCACACCCATTTCTTTTCCTTTCTTCCTCTGTCATTCTTTCTACTGAGTTATTACATATAGTCACATTATCGAGTCACAGCGTGATGAATGTTTATTTAGATATGTCATATGATCATCATCTAGATCAAGATACAGATTATTCTAGCACCCAGAGGCTCCCTTGTCCCTTTCCACTAACTACCCACCAAGGAGTCCCCGTCCTGATCTCAAGCACTATAGGTATGTTTTGCCTGCAGAGAGAACTGCCTACGGATGGACTCTTGCAGTATATGCCCTTTGTGGGCTTCTTTCACCCAACGTTATGTCAACCCAAACTCCTTTTCAACAGCAAATATTTTGCAATACTCCCTTTACAACCTTAAAATGAAATTCATAGATGAGGTCATCCTTTTTGCCAGAGGCCGCATGTGCTTGCCAGAAAGAGACAATGAGAGAGAGCGAGAGAGAGAGAATGAGAAAGCATCTCTGTGCGACATGGTCACACTACAATCCCTTCTTCTTAACTTCTCCCTCTTTTTTGAGATTTTGGGCATTCTTGCACACAGACATGTGCCTGGTGTGTTTCAAGCAGTAGGATCTGGGACTAGAAACATGGACTTGGCCACGTGGCATCTAGCAGCCTTAGTCACCACATCATGGTCTGGCCGCATGATGTAATCCTTATTTATTTATTTATTTAAAGAGTTTTGGGATAGGGCACATGTGCTTGCCAGAGAGAGAGGGAAAGTGAGAAATCACCTCCTGGGGGAATGGCCATGACACAATCTCTTCTCCCCCATTCTCCTCTTGGGATTTTGGGCAAGCATGCACGTGCGTTCAGCATGATTTTCAAGCTGCTGCGTCTGGGATTTAAACTGCAGAGTCAGTTATATGGAATCCAGCTCCTTAACCACCACACCACCTGCTGGCCTTGATGATGTAATTCTTTACCCCTACTCTTTTAAATCAAGATGATGCCCTAATTATACAGGAGAAATAAAAGGAGAATGACTTAGACTAAAATTATATTTATGTCAATATGTGAATGGTCTGCTTCAACTTACCTAGAACAGAGCCAGCAAACTAATTCTGCAGGCAACCAGGCTCCACTGGTCACATGGTCTCTCTCTGTCTGGCTACTTAATTCTGACTCTGTAGCAGGAAGGCAGCCATAGCCAATATGTAAATGAATGGGCATAGTTGTGTTCTAATAAAGCTTTATTTACAAAAACAGCAGATTTGGCCCAGCACTAGAGCTCTGGCCTAAAAGATATAGTCAGAGACCTGCACAGATACAAAGAATCACCAAAGCCTCCACACAGCAGGCTGATTGAGGCTTGATGTCTCTGCAACTCAAGAATACTATCAACTCCAGAATAATTAACCACCTGCTGGCACGGTGGTTAAGGTGCTGGACTCCCACATTTTCCACCACAGTTTGAGTCTTGGACTTGACGGCTTGTTTCCTCACTTTCCCTCTCTCTCTGGTCAAATTAATAATAATAATATAATAAATTAAATTCAAAAAAGAAAAGAACACTATCCGGGTTGTGTTGATGACATGATTTCTAAATGGCGAATGACTCATAGTTATGTTCCAAACAAATCAGAGAACATGTTTTCTGGCTTTACTCAACGACCACATTCATGGAGAATTCAGTGTCTAATAGAACTGAATGAAAAACACTACATATACTACTATATGTAAAAGATGGTTTGAGGGACCAGCAGGTGACATGGTGGTTAAGGGCGCTGGACTCCCACATGGCTGACTGCGGTTCGAGTCTTGGACCTAGTGGCTTGCTTTCTCACTTTCTCTCTCTTTTTTCCTCTCTCACTCTCATTCTCTCTCACTCTATCCTTCTCTGGTCAATTAAAAAAAGAAAGAAAGAAAGGAGGAAAGAAAGAAAATAAAGTTAAACAAAATAATTGCTTTTTATTCTTTTCTCTTTTTTTTTGTTTCCAGAGAGGTTTTTACTATAGGGCGCATGTGCTCACCAGAAAGACAGAGAGAGACAGAAAGTGAGAAATCACCCCCCAGGGGGGATGACCACACCACAATCCCTTCTCCTCTTGGGATCTTGGGCACACACGGACACGTGCCTGGCATGAGTTTAAGCCACAGGATCTGGAACTTGAACCACAGTCAACTACATGCGAGTCCAGTGACATAGCCATTATGCCAACTGCTGGTCCCCAAAAATAATTCTTTAAAAAAAAAAGAGATAGTTTGATTCTAGGTACAAAAAAGTATAAAGAGGGCTGGCCTCATAGCACAGTGGTTAAGCACAATGCACAGAAGCCAAATCCCACATGATTGACTGAGGTTCAAGTCTCGGCCCTCGTGGCTTCAAAAACACACTGGGTGCATGTGAGCACATTCCCAGGATCCTAATGGGAATGAAGAATTGGACAAAAAAGGATCACAGTGTAACCAGGCTCAATTGGAGGCATTTTGTCTCTCTCTATTTCTCACGTGCACACATGCACCCTCTAGACTAAAAAAAAAAAAAAAAAAAAAAAAGGTACAAAGTGATTTTCCACCTACGTAATGTCCAGAGGGTCACTGGGAAGAAGTCACACAGAATAGGGGACAAGTCTCAGATGTCTGGTGCTACCTCACATACTGCAGGGTGTGTGGCGTCTCATGACCCTCCCATTAAGTGCCACAAGTACCCTTCATGACAAGGGCCCAAAACACCTCACAAGGTAACTGGCCTTACAAGTGACAGTGCCATTTCTGCTGGAAACCATGTTTTGGAGGCAAGATTTAAGTTTGCCCGTGAGTTACATTTACATGCACAGGTGAGAGTAAAAACTCTACATTGCCTCACTGTACCCCACACTAGCTAAGACTGAGTTGAACTGAGCAGGTATCTAAGAGAGAAATGAAAATTCCATTTACAGGGAGGGAAAAAACACCAGTTTTTGTTTTGGCATACTTCGGTTGGTAAGCTGAAGAATCTGTGCCTCTACGGATGTTAACACAGCTGGGTTTTCTCTCTCTTTTTCAGATTGTTCAGATGGAAAAAAAAGTCATAAACCAAAAACAGATCGTCCTGAAAATGCGGGAGGCCAATAACCCCCAGAAACTGCAAAGACAGATCCATGTTTTGGAAACCCGTTTGAATCTTGTATGTAAGGTGTTCTCTGCAGCTTTGCAAACAGTTCAGCCCCGCTTTGCTCACAGTATAGAATGGTGTTTGCTGAGCCATTTGCAAAACATGCCCATTTCATTGGTTGAATCGGGAGAAGGGGAATTTGTGTGAACACACAGTCCAGGGAGCCTATTAGGATTTACCATTCACCTTGCCCCACTCTCTCTTGTTGTCTCTAATAACTATTAGACGTAAGAAATGCATAATTTGATCATGGGAAAAGTGATGTTTCCTGGCCACCTTCAATTTATAGTGACTTCTACATTAAGTACTTTCGTTCTAAATTGCAAATTGCCTTAAGCAAAAAAGGAACTCTGTTGCGACAGAACTGAAAAATTCAGAAGAGCTGGACCCAGGTGCTTCAAACATGTCTTTAAGGACATGTTCTCTGTCCATCTCCCTTCTGGATGAACTTCATTCTCAGGTCACCCCGATGTGAACAAACGCCGGCAGAAAGTTTAATCCCATGTCTCAAGGAGGGTTCCCATTGGGCCAATTTGGATCCTGTGCTCATCACTGTAAACCAATACGTGACTAGAGGAATGGAATACACAGACCCAAGTCATATGCCAACACGTGGGCACAATTTTGGAAAGTAGCCCTATTCAAAATATGTGAACCGAGAGTGGGAGAGAAGTGGTTCCCCTGGAAAAGCAAGAAGGGAGAAAGAATGTTTGGCAGGTATAAACAACACACTCCAGGCTGGCTTGTGAAACTCTAACTCCCACAACATACGCTAGCAAACAGGGAAAGTGAATTGGTTTAGAGAGAAATTGTCGTGTCTGTGTGGTGTTTTAAACAGGGTCTCATTGCGTTGTAATCCTCTTGCCTCACCCTCCCAAGCAGCTGGGACCACAGGCACATGCCTTTCATGGTGGGTCGGGAATCTAACCCAGGCCTTTCATGTGGCCCCAGCCTGCCAAGTAGCAGCATTCACTACGGTTAGACCCCTAGAATGTCTTTTTAAGGTGGACTCAATTCACGTAATTGTTAGGTTTCTTCATTTTCCTTAATCTAGAATAGTGACTCTTCAGTCATGGGCCATTTTGACCCCAAATGAGACAGCATCTCCAATAGGAGACTCTTTTGGTGGTCACAGCTGGGTTGGGGCATCTAGTAGTGGGTATTTAACATCCTATAAAGTGCAGGACAGTCTCCCACGACAAAGAATCATCCAGTCCAAAACGAATAATGCTGTTGGAGAAGCCATGGCTGAAAAGCTCCACTCCATTTTTTTTTCTTCCTTTCATGCCATCCACTTGTTAAAGAGTCCAGGTCAATTGTCCTGTACAAAGTTCTACCTTCTAGGTTTGGATGATTATTTCCTCTGGTGTCCTTTAGCTCGTTCCTCTCTCCCCTGTAATTGCTGAAAATTGAATGTTAGGTCTGAAAGTAGTTGAAGAACCTGAAGTCCAGGAAAAAGGATTCTCTAAAGGCCACTCAGCCACCAACTCAAGTTTCTTGCCCAGTGCTCTAACCACTTTTCCATGACCCTGGGGTGGAAGGTGGAGGAAAGATCTTCCACACCCATGCTGCCTCCTGGAGGCTTATCTAACACCCCAGGAATGAGCTCTGTTTTGAAGCAAAGTCCTTCCAACAGGTCACCGTTCACTTTGACAAGATGCTGACCACTAATGCCAAGCTCCGGAAGGAGATCGAGGACCTGCGGTTTGAGAAGGCTGCTTATGACAATGTCTACCAGCAGCTCCGCCGGCGCCTGCTGAATCAGAAGAAAACCATGAACGTGGCCATTGAGCAGTCTTCTCAGGCCTATGAGCAAAGGTGGGCTGGGGAAGTGCCTGGTGGCAGTGTTGTCTCTTAGTCCCCTTGCTGAACATGTAGCTTCCTAGTCTGGGCTACCTCTGTCCCCCAGGGATTATGTGTCGAGACACCTTAAATAATAATAGTAATCATTTTGAGCACTGACTATGCACCAAGCATGGTACTGGGTGCTCTGGGCATCTTAACCCTCACAACTGCCCTAGGAGTTATGATTCCTGTTTTATAGATAAGGACATGGAAGCTTAGAGATGCTAAATGAACCACCTGAGATCCAGGTAAGTGGCAGACGTAGTAAACGTGAGATTCAAACCTCTACGTTGTAGCATCTCCTCCAGGTGCCCCTGCCTCTGGTCGTGGGAGCCTTTCTCAGTCTAGGTCTCTCCTGGTTTCATACTTACAGGGCAAAAGTCATAGTTTGGCTATGAAGGGCACAGGTTTTAGAGTCAAACAGACCTGGGTTTGGATTCTGGCTTCATCACTACTACATTGTTGTAAGATCTCTTTAGGTGGTAGAGGATCAAATACTGTATATATGTAAGGGATCGCATGGGACATAGTAATTGACAGGTGACGTTGATAGGGATTGTGACGGTGCGGTGATGATGGGGGTGATGATTATAATGAGGGTATAACGATCGTGGTGGCGATGCAGATGGTGATTCTGATGATGATGATGGTGATGAAGGGGGTGATAATGAGGAGGATGGTGATGGTAACGATGATGATGATAGAGAGAACAGCGAGAGAAAAATCATTTCTTGGCAGTGGTCTAGGTAAGGAGGGTTGTTCTTCCAATCTCAGAAACCTTCATGGTTCAAAAAAAGCCATGGTCGTTGGCCAGGCAGAACATCCCCCTGGACTGGCTGGGAGAGGGAAGTAGATGGAGAGACTCCAGACACTTAGGATCTGCAGTCTCCTTGCCCAGGCTAGAAGCCATGGCTCGAATGGCTGCCATGAAGGACCGCCAGCAGAAGGACATCTCTCAGTACAACCTGGAGATCCGAGAGCTGGAGCGTCTCTACGACCACGAGACCAAGCTCAAATCCTTCCTGCTCATCAAGCTGAACGACCGCTCTGAATCTGAGGAGCAGGCCAAAAAGGAAGGTACATTCTCCAGCACATGCTTGCTTACTTTCTCTCTCTCTCTCAGTGAAGATGCCCAAATTTCCTTGTAGTAGAGTCGCCAAATTTAGCAAACAAAATTACAAGACGGCTGGTTAAATTTAAAACTCAGATAAATGTTAAATACATGTTTAGGGTAAGTATATTCTAGCCATTACTTGAAATAGACTTACACTATAAATTTTTGTTGTTTATCTATAACTGAGACATAGCCATGTTTTAAAAAAGTACTGTTTGTCTACATTCAAATTGAACAGGATGCCCTATATTTTATCTGCCAATCATAACCTATAGGATGTGTCCTCACTCTGGGTTCTCCTCCCATTGTTTAGGGTAAAGCTTGTTTGTCAGGGGTCCTCCAAAACCATCCGTGTTTGGTGACTCACTAGGAGAACCACAGGACTTGGGAATGAGTCACACCCATGTCAGCCATAACAGTGAGAAGATACAAAGCAAAAACACCAAAAGGAAAAGACAAATAAGGTCGAGTCCAGAGGAGACCAGGTGCAAACGTCCAAGTGGAGTCGAAATAGAGGACATTTAATTTCTCTAGCATCTAATTGTGACTACACACGTGGAGAAGGGGCTAGGGTAGCACACCAGAGACTTGGTACCCAAACTTCCTGTTGGGGGCTGGCCATGCTCTGCCCATCACATACCAAAATTCTAGGCTCCCATAAAGAAACAGGGGTTAGCATAAACTATACCTTTTGCACAGTCTAGGTACAGCGAGCCACTCTTATCATTTAAGGGAAGTTTTGTATCAGTGTAGGAAACTACTAGTCATGTCCCCAGTTGCCAGCCAAGAGCTGGCCTTACAAGCAGGTCTTTCTAGGGAGAGCCTCTGCCTTAAGGTCTTCTTGGCCACTTCCTTGACCAGCATCCTGCTCAAATGTTACTTCTTTAGAAAGGCCCTGGTCACCCATCTAAACAGAACCCCTACCACAGAACTGCCATGTCTCCTGGCTCCAATGGTAATGGCTGGATTTCCTTTTCTGTTGACTTGAGTCTTTTCTTCCTCCTTTGTCTGATTGCTCCATTAAGAGTTTCCCAGGGCAGGGATTTGTATCAGCAGAGGCTAGCACAGCATCTGGCACAAAGTAAATGCTTAATTAGGTATTCGTGAAGTGAATTAGGAGTGAAGCTTCTGGCTCATCTCCTGGGAAAAAAATCTAACCCCTTCCCCAAGGCATAATAACACCACTGATCACACACCCTCTTCTCAGAGGGATCTGAATGGCTTCCTTTTTGGACTCACTGCTGCTGGGTTTTCCTTTTCTAGCGCTCACGGCAAAAAAGCATGGTAAGAAGAACAAGGGAGAGAGCTTTGAGAGCTATGAGGTGGCACACCTTCGGCTGCTGAAGCTGGCTGAGAACGGGAACCTGAATGAACTCATTGATGAGTTTCTGGCCAAGGAGGAGAAGAACTTTGCTCGGTTCACATATGTCACAGAGCTCAACAATGACATGGAGACGATGCACAAGAAGACCCAGCGAATCCAGGTCGGGGCAGTGTTTGTTTCCCTAGGCTTGGGACTCAGCAGTCCCATAGCAGCCTTCCCTAAAGCAGACTCCCTGGAATATTCCATGAGGTACTCTGCAGGAAAAAGGTTCTTGACATCAAATCAGTTTGGCAACACTGCTATGTCCCCTGGGCTCCCCACTACATTTCAACTTTTCTGAAATTGGTATTTGTCTTCAGCAGATATGCATGTTTAATGTGTTCGTGTTTCCCCACCCCCAATAGTGACATTTATAATTCATGGCATGTTGTGTAATCCAGGGTTCAGCAAACTACAGCCCACAGTGGTTTCTGTACAGCCTGTGAGCTAAGAATGATTTTTACATTCTTAAAGTACTATAAGAAAAAAAGAGAAGTCAATCTGCAAGGGAGATCTGAAAAGCCTCAAATATTAAGTATCTGGCCCTTTGTCTTAAAATTTACTGAGCCTTGGCCCAGCTGTAGTGGCACAAGCAGGAGAGTGCTACTGTGTGGTGGTTGAGGCCACATAGGAGCCCTGGGTTTGGTTCCCAGTCCAACCAAACAGGTCAGGTGCTGTGTGTTAGAGTTTGCACCGTGGGAGTCTGGGGCAGGAGAATCATAACACGGTGAGACCCTGTCAAGGGGCCAGCAGATGGCATGTTGGGTAAGGTACTGGACTCCCACATAGCCAACTATGGTTCGAGTCCCATACCTAGTGGCTTGCTTTCTCACCTTTCCTCTTTTTTTCCTCTCTGTGTTGAGCACACATGACCTATAGCAAATTTAAAAATGGTAATAATAATAAATAAAATTAAATAAATAATTCTTTTAAAAAAGACCCTGTCAAAAAATACCTCACATTCTTTTTCCTTACATGCAAGATTTCACTTTCATTTAAAAAAGAAAAAAATGAGGGACCAATGGATAGCATAATGGTTACGTTGCTGGACTCCCACATGGTCAGCTATGATTCGAGTGCCAGACCTGGTGGCCTAAAACTCACGCCAGGCGAGTGTGCGTGCGTGCCCAAAATCCTGAGAGGAGACTGGAGGAGAAGGGATTGCAGCAGTCCTCCCCTCAGGGGTTGATTTCTTGCTTTCTGTCTCTCTGTTGAGCACATACTCCCTATAGCAAAAGTCTTTCTCCAAAAAGAAAAAAAAAAAAAAAAGAGGCCAGATAGTGGCACAACAATACAACATGACATTGTGCAAGGTGATCTGAAATTGGAAGATTACCGGATCATGTCAGGAGACCTCCCTGAGTACGTGAGTTTATGCTTGCTTGCCCATGCTCTACAGCTGGGTGAGGCTGGGGTCTACCTCATCTTCCAGACCCTGTTGGGAGGGCTGTATCTCTGTCTCTCCCTCACTCACGGAAAAAAAATAAACTTAAAAAAATGTACCATCACTATTAATCAACAGCTTCATAGAATTGAGGAAAAATGGTTAAATATCACCTTGGAGAGACTTGAGGAACAGTAGCATGGTAAAGGGGCTGACAAGTCCTGCAGTAAAGAAACCCGTCTCCCTTTGTTTCCAAAATTGGCTCTCTGGCTATTAATACTTCCCAGTTGGGCACTGCTGGTACAGAACAGAGTAGGAATCCTCCTTCAGTAGGACTCTCCAGCCCCTTTACGATTCGGCTTTGACCTGCCTTTGCAGACACAGGTCTCATGACAACTCCCAAGGCACCCTGAGCAGCTGCTAGTCCCAGCTGTCCCACAGGCGTTTCCCTCCTCTAGTGCTTTCCTTTTCTTTCCCTCCCACCAACCACCCTTCTCTTCTGATGAAACCCTGCTCATTAGTCCCGACCCAGCACAAATGTCACCTCCTCTGGGAATGGATGACTCCTTCCACTGAGGTCCCTATCTCCTGTTTAGATGAGGAAGGGAGCTGCTTTCCTTTGCAATGTGTCACCATTTCCCAAGGGCAGGGGGTGGATGTTGGCCACGTACACACAGATTACAGCTAGAATGTAGGTAACATCATTTGCCAGTGATTGATTCATTTTTATGAGTATTAGGGAAAAAATAGCTTGCAGAACAAACTTGTGATCTCATGGATATTATTACTTAGGTAATAAAGTTAATAATAATAACAACAGTAAATAGTAATAAATAATAAAATAAATAGAATGTGGTAGTTAAGGTAGCTGGATCCCACATGGCCGACTGCATGGTTCAAGTCCTGGACTTGGCAGTTTGAAAAACATGTGGGGCATGTGTGCATCCGTGCCCAAAATCCTGAAGGGAGAATGGAGAAGGGGTTGCAGTGTGAATTCCCCCGGGGGTGCTTTCTCACTTTTCCTTTCTCGTTCTCTCTCTAGTGAGCATATGAACTCTACAGCAAATTAAAACAAAACAATAATGGTCAATTAAAAAACCTAACGCATACTAATTTTATATATGTGTGTGTGTGTGTGTGTGTGTGTGTGTATATATATATATATATATATAGAGAGAGAGAGAGAGAGAGAAAGAGAGAGAGATTTTTTTACTGTAGGGTACATGTGCTTGCCAGAACAGGAAGCGAAAATCACCCCCTAGGTGGAATGGCCACAATGCAATCCCTTCTCCTCCATTAAGCTCTCAGGACTTTGTGCCTGGTGTGAGTTTTAAGATGGTAGGTCTGAGACTAGAACCGCAGTTGACTATGTGGGAGTTCTGCAACATAACCATTATGCCCACCATCTGCTGGTCCCTATTCTTTTTTTAATTATTTTTTTTAAGGTTTTTGCCATAGGGCTCCTGTGCCCACCAGAGAGAGACAGAGACTGAGAGAGGGAAAGTAATAGATCACCCCTACCCCATGGCCACACCGCAATCCCTTCTCCATTCTCCTCCTGGGATTTTGGACACGCACACAAACTTGCCTGGTGTGATTTTCAAGCCACCAGGTCTGGGACTCAAATCGTGATGAGCCACGTAGGACTCCAACACTTTAACCACTACACCACCTGCTGGTCCCAATAATATATATTCTTAAAGTTTATTTCTTCTAGGACAGAGGGAGAGAGAGACAGGCATCCCCAAGAGGGTCTTCACATACAATCACTCCCCCCACCCAGATGTCTCAACAGGCTCAGGGAGGTCCCAGGATAGAACCCGCGGGTCTGGTTGCATTACCTCTGCACCACCGTCGGGCCCAATAACGGATATGGACAGAAAATAAGTAAGTCCCAATGGCATGTGAAGATAGCAGAAGGAAAGGAGGTTCTGTCAGCTGGGGCTGTTCCAGGAAACGGCACACAGAAAGTGGGTAGATTAAGAAGTTTTGAAAACGGACGACTCACAAAGGATGGGAGTGCAGGACGGGCAGGAGCAGCTCCAGAAGGGCGCGGGAGGAAAGTTCCAGAGACCGCAGAGCTGCGCGGGCCCTGGTGCCCTCTGGGGTCTCCCTGGGACGACGCGCTAATCCCAGACCCGCCGGGAGGAGAGCGAGAGCGAGAGCGAGAGCGAGAGCGAGAGCACCCAGACCTCAGTCCCGCCACGCGCCGATTCCCGCTGGCGCCTCCCATTGGCTGGGCCCCACCGAAGCCAGGCCCGAGGGTGCTTCCTATTGGCTGGGCTGTGGAGCCAAGGGCGTCCATAGGCCCGGGTCAGAGCGCGTTTTCCGAGGGGGGTAGGTAGACCTGAGGCTAATGGAGACCATCCTCGTCGCCGCGTGGTGAGGTGGCTGGGGACAGGCCTGGACGACCGTCGTTTTACTTCTCTAACAGAGGAAGGGCTTGCACAGAGGTATGCTCTGCATTCCGCGTGCCAGCAGGGTCCCTGCACACGGGGGGGGGGGGGGTTGTCCCAGGAAGTGGGTCCTCAGCAGGATTGCCCTTGACCCTCTTGTTCATCTGAGGGCACTTTCTCTCTCTCTGTCTCTCTGTCTCTCTGTCTCTCTCTCTCTGTGTTTGCTTTAACGGCGTGTGCATCACCAGAGAGCAAGTGAAAAAGCACGCCCGCCCCGGCAGGATATGGCCACACTGCAATCCCTTCTCCACTCTCTTCTCGGGATTTTGGGCACACACACTCACTTGGCGTGTTTTTCAGGCAGCTGGGTCTAGGACTTGAAGGCACAGTTGGCCACTGGGATCCTTAACCCCCGGCTGGCCTACTCTCCTTTGACCACGCAGCTTGTGTCTCTGTTGGGATGAGTATGCTGATATAAGACACCCAAACTCTTGCCCCCTCTGGGCCTCAGTTTCTCCATCTGTAGAATAACACGCTTAGGTTAGAGGAGTAGTAAACTTTCATTTAAAAGCTGCAGAAACCCATGTTCTGAGGAACCACTTGTGTATAGAACAGATAAAGTAGAGGAGCAGTCTTGGATGAAAATGTGGGGGTAGGACTGGAGGAGTGCCTGGGACCTTACCTTTTTTGTCTTGTGGCATTTCTGCTCAAATGAGAGTTAAGGTTTTTTGTTTGTTTGTTTGTTTGTTTTAAGTTTTTTTATTGTATTTTTCCCAGAAGGGAGAGTGAGAGAGAGAGAGAGAGAGAGACAGACAGACAGACAATACCCCCCAAAGGATCTCCATGCTACTACCCACCTCACCCCTTCAGCTAACCCCAGGATCATGGGCAACTGTGTACCAGGTATAGTCAGGGAGGTCTCTGAACTTAAACCAGAAACCCTCCCATATGGGAATTGCCACGCAGTGTTGTGTTTTACCACTGAGCCACCTTCTGGCCTCGAGTTCATGTTATTTA